AATACTTCTCCCTGCTTGGAGCTGCCCGGGACAGGGTCTGGTGAGGTGGCTCCCTGGGACCCCACGTCTGCCCTGAGCTGCCCCATGCCTGGCAAGCACTGGCCACACCACACAGACAGCCCACTCCAGGCTCCCCACATGCCCCAAGCGGGGTCCAGATCTGACCCTTTGCCGCCCCGAGCATCATCCCCCCACAGCAGCCTTAAACCCCCTTCGCCGGTCCCCAGTGCTCCGCCATACTCTGTGTTTTGAGCAAAAGGGTTGAGACAGACTCAGGCGCAAGGGCATCGCGCCGTTCCCAGGCTTATTTTGTTTACATTTGATTCAATCAAGTTGTGGCCTTTTGGCCTCTTTCCAAATTAACTTCTGGGTGACCTCCACCGTGCCCTCTCCCAGCAGCCAGGCCGCAGGGAAACAGCCCATTAAACCTACAAACAAATATAGGACATATTGGTTGATCAACCCAGCTTCAAATGTGGATATTCAAATGCTGGGGTGTGCTTTTTTGCAAACTTCAAGTCCACTTTGTCTTCGGTCATTCGCACCTCTGGGCCTCTTTTTTTTTTTTTTTCCTTCCAGCTCTGTGTTTTACTGCCTCATAAAACTTTAAATTTTGTTCTCATCCTCCTGTAAACCCCACGAAGAGCAACGCGAGGCGCTTTCACACGGGGCTCGCCACAGGACCCGGGTCTTCAGACTAGCACGTGAAGAAAGGCAGTGAGATCCTGCTTGGGGGAACAGCTGTAATACTCCAAGAAATTGTGCATTCCCCTTATTTCCAAGGAAATAAATCAAAGCGGGTTTCTCAGGGTCTGTGAAAGCATATTGCCTGGATTCCGCTCCCCAAAGGGTTTTTTTTTTTTTTCAAGAGCTTATATGGTAGTTAGGTTTCTGGCTAGAGAATATGCAATATGATAAAAACACAGTCCCTATGCGGGGCAATAAATTACAGATTGTTTGATGTGCAAACCAAAGAACTGTCAAACTCCAGTATATGTGAAATATTCTAAATGAGCCCTTAACTCCAGTGTCTGGAAACGTACAATATGTTTCCAGGCCCTTCAATCTTGTAAAGACACATCTCCCCCAGTTAAGTTTCCTTTTATGGGTTTTAATCTTTATTTTTTTGGTGGGTTTTCTTCCCTCCTTTTCTTCTATAATTGCACTCTTCGTCCTAGAGATGGTCCTATGATAAACACCAGGATCTATCTAAGCATAAAAAGGGATTGGAGCAGGGCACAAGCTTAAACAGGTAAGTGCAGTAAGGATGGGGTAAAGCATCCCCTGCAACGGTGTCAGAGCCCCGTAAGCACTGCAGAGAATGCACAGTCAGCTGGGGACAGAGAGGGACAGGAGGGAGGATAAAGAGTATCACATCGGCCAACCCGCTACCCGCAGTCTCCATCCCTGCTGCATCCTCGCACCTGCATCACTCAGGTCCGCTCTCCAGAGCCTTTCCTGGGAGGAGGTTCAATAGGAGGTCACCAACACGGCAGAGCGCCCGGGACATGGGACACAATGGCTCCCACCTCCATGCGTATCTGTTAAAACTTCAACCTCATCCCCATCTGCCAGCCACCTAAACATCCCCATGGTGGGAGGAAAATGGAGTGACCAGAGGAAATAGCTCACCTTGCACACTACTTTTTGCCTAGGGATGCTACCAAGTCACAAAAAAACTGAGCAAGACTCATGCTGACACGGAATAACCTTTCAATTTCAATATAGTTTCACGTGTGGGATGAGTGAAAACCCTTCTAGCTAGAAACGGACCCCATCCACTCTGGGAAATAACAGTTAGGAACCAATTCCAACTCACTTTCCTGAAGGTGACCCTTGGCCTCCCAGCTGAGATAACAATGCTAATATTTATGGATGGGCTGTTCATGCCTCTGGGCACACAGCAAAAATAACTCAAATCAAAACCTGGTAGACATCTAACAGAACTGAAAAAAAAATAATCCTTATTTCCAATATGGCAATAATAAACCATTTCGCCCACCAACGCACGAAAAATAGCACCACCCACAACCACACGTTTGGGTGAAACAAAAATGGTCTGGAGTCTTGACGGGACGAGTAGGCACCACCGAGAGGGACTCACCCACAGCAGACTGACTTGAGGCAGCACGCTACCCAGGCAGTGAGCTTTATTAATTTCCTTATTTTAGCTTGACAAAAGGTGCTTGAACCAAACTAATACAATCCGGTAAGCTTTTACTTGCCCTTCTCTCCGGGATAAGTTTTCTACCCTCCTTTCAGTCCCTGTGGATTTTGTTCAATGCACAAACACCATTCCCATTTCATTCTGCAAAAGTTTGATGAGACTTTCTCATATATATGTGTGCACTTACCCAGATTTGGTTTGAGAAGACATGAACTAATGAGCAAGCACGATTTCCGCACACAACACACTCGCCAAACTCAGGCAAGCTCGAAAATGTGGCATATTGCTGAAAGAACACACATTTTTCAGCAGCGTGAGCAGCCTGGAATACATTGAAGCCAAGTCATTGGCAAATTAAAGACATTTGCAAAAATCTACACATGAAAGCAAAAGCTGTAGAACTCTTCAAAGAAATTGCACCAACTAGCACAGCTCCTGAGTCTACCCACATCCACAAAATCCAAGCTGCATCTCTAACACAATACACGGGGAGGAACTCATTATATGGTACTAGATACACAATTTACTGGTAGTCACATGGGGAATCCAGTTTAGAGCTCTGAGCACTACAAATGCTCCGAAAAGATATACTCTTTTCTCCAAAAGACTCTGGATGTTTGAAAACCCTTGACAGCTGCTGTTGGCTTGAGCTTGGGGGATGAGGAGATTTTTACCCCTCCTCAGCCCGGAGTCCCCGCCGCTTCCCACATCTGAAGCCAACACCTGAAAAACACAACTGTAATTCATCCAGAGCTGCTCCTTCCACATTTCCTACTCTTTGGCGTTCAAGATGCATTCCAGATGTGAAGGGGAGTGCAAAACTTCAGTAGGCCAAGAAAATAAGTGTGATGGCTAGCTATGACACCCCAAATCCCAAATTTTAGTGACCTCCACAGTTACTTTTCCAGTATACAAGCTACTTACCATAGACTAAAGACCCTCCACAGGAATAGCTAGGTTTATAACTAGTTCTCACAAATCACTTCCCATTTTCTCCTGATTTTATTCTTAGTCCCCCTCTTTCTCAAAACACAGCTTTACAAGAGGGTTCAATATTTTTCAGACTCTTAAATTCATGCCGTTTAAACCAAAACAACTCACCTGCCCCCCATAACACATTCCAATCCCATAATGCAGTGAAGAAGGGGAAGCACTGTAAGAGATCATGACCAAGCTGACCATGTTCACCCCCTTACCACTATTTTTCCCAGGGCAGCAGCTGACAAAGACGCTCTGCTGCTGCGAACAGCTGAGTTCATCCTGGCGATGTTTACCCAGAGTCTCTCGTTCCACGAATCTCTGCTTCTCAGCAGCCTGAACTGTTCAGCAAAGACCTAACTTGACCCAATCTGGCAGCCAGCATTTCACAACCACTTTATGTCAGCAGTTTCAAGTACACTAATAACCATGTTTTGTTCAGTGCAACTTTCTCACTGTGAACGGCAAAATATCATTATCACCTGCAGGTTGAAGCCTGCCCTCTACCCCATTTAATAGGAAGCTGAATAAGCTATTCCCCCCCCCACTTTTAATAATTATGGGCTGTTGGCAGACGGCACAGCTCGGCGAGGCATGCGGGAAGGCAGAGCGGGCTGCACTGCCACTGTCCGCGCTGACTCCTGTGTGCCAGGATGCTCCCGGGGACCCCAAATTTCCTCTCTGCATCCCACTCCCAGACAGCGGCTAATGAGGCGTGCCTGCGTCGGAGGGCACTGGGGTTAAACCGGGAACTGCTATGAAAACAGACCCTGGCAGCTGCGGGAGCAGGAAAGCAGAGGTTAGCAGAAAAGTCGCTAAGCCAGCAACTCCAGACAGAGCAGCCCTCGCAGCCCGCCCGGCTGCGAAGCAAAGCTGGGCTTAACCCCGGGAACCCGCCACTGCCCAAAGCCTCATGCCAGAGCGATCCTGAACAAGGTCCCCACCAGTAAGAGCTCTCTTGGGAGAGACTGGGCAGCTTAGCCTTATTGACAGACAGCATTACCACCCGAGTATTTGCCCTGCAATGTCCCAATGCTGTGGATCCCTGGGAAGTACAGAGGCCCAAGCTATCAGCCTACTGAAAAACATCCCCTCTACAAGCTACTCAGTGACACAGAGAGGAGAGCAGAATCCAGAGCCTGACCCCAGCCTGGCTGGCCTGAGGCAGCACTGCAGAAGAGCTCTGGGAGGTTAACAATCGCAAGCTGAACGCTGTGCAGAGGTGCCACCTAATCCCTTGGCAGTGGTGGGGCTTGTTCACAGACCTAACTTGGCCTTGCATGACGGGTAGGGACAAGATACTGCTTGTCCTGGCAAGGGTGCCAGGTCTGAGACCGTGGGAAGGAAGCTCCCTCTCTAGCAGAAAGGGTCCCATTCAGCTCTGCCATTTCCCCATTCAACGGTAACTTGCCCCAGTAGTGACTGGGAGTGGACGCCCAGGGAGATACAGTGAAGAAACAAGTGACCCTCCCTGCAAGCCATGAGCAATGCCAAAGGGGACTCCTCTGAGCAGAGGGGACATCACATCAGGCACACGTCACATAAACCCCTGCCAGCACCTCATGCCCAGGGGCACCACAGCAACTCCATCTTTCTTGGTCCTCCATCACATGGGAAATGGATGCCCAGCAGAAGCACACCACAGGGATGCATCCATGCATCCTCCCGGGCGCAGGCCGAACCCTGGAGGGCTGCAACACACTTGCCCTGCAGCTCCGCTGCACTTGCACGCAGCTGCAGAAGATGGAGATGCCCCAGGTTGTCTGGCTGAGCCCAAAGAAAGCCTGGGGGAGGCCACATGGATTTGGAAACCACCCACTCTGGAGCCACCCCTGCTGGCATGCCTGCAACAAACCTGGTTTATGTGTTTCAGCTTGTCAATAATCTGGCTAATCACTGGCTCGGGACCTTTCATCTTCACCTCGTGGTTGCCAGGTTGAGCTTTTGCTCCGTTCCTTGTGATCTGGGGACTGTACCTGTGGGAGTAAGAACAGAGGAGACCATGATGTGATGGGATAATATAGAGGAGATCTTCAAAGTTCAGTGCAAACAGAAGAAATTCCAAGATAAACACCAGCCCTTTCCAAAACAGAAAGTGCAAAACAGTTAATAATGACAAAGAAAAGGCAGAATAATCCCATAAACATTTCTGCTCTGCCTTTGCAAAGCAGCAAGATGATGTACTTGTTTCACTTGAGGACAATGAAGTCCTTTCCAGTCCATTAGTAACCAAGGAAGACGTTAAACAGTATACAACAGGGATAAATATTTTCAAATAACTTGCACCCAAGAGTCCTAAAAAAGCTGGCTCAGAAATTCTGGCTTGCTCATGTTTGTTTAAAATAAATCTTGGCAGACCACAGAGACTCCAGTACAAGAGCGGTAGTGTTGTGCCCACAGCCGAAAAAAATGAGTGGGATGACCCAGTTAACTGCAAGCTGATTAGCATAACATCAACCCCCTTGGAAAATAATGACTATCACTGATGTGTGATTTCAATAATAAAGAATTAAAGCATCAGAATATAATTAATGCTGTCAACATTGCTAATGGAAAATAGGTGTTGTTAAACAATCCTGATTTCAGTCTTTGATGAGATCCAGCCTTGGGGATCAAAGCAACTGCTTAGACAGAATCTACCTTGACTTTGGTGCGGTGCTGGGCTCTGCACCACGCGATGTCCCAATCTACATGGGTGCCGTGCAAGTCAGTAAAGCACCCGTAAAGTGGATTAAGAGCTGGCAGAGAGATCTCAAGATGCAGCTCTCCACAGAGACCCTTCCCTGTGCAGCCAGCTGCCAGGGCAGCGCTGCAGCGGAGGGCGGCCAAGCCTGCGCTCAGCTTCTTCATCGGCAGCTAGGAAAGAAATATGTATTCACTGCTGCAGAATTTATGGAATGGCAAAGCTTATCAGAGTGACAAAAGTGAGAAGAGGGACAGAGGGATCGTTGCATGCTTGCCTTCGGAGAAATGCATTTCTACACTCCATACCTGGGAGCTCATGATGCTCAGGACATGAGAGGAGAACATCCACACCAATTTCAAACTCAGCTTCAGGACCCGAGTGAGCATCTGCCACCACTTACTGCTGGCAGCCACAGCAGTGGCACGGAGCACACTGGTGCCGTCTCGAGCTGTGGGTTGTTGGTATTCATCGCAGCCCCAGTGACGGGCCGCGATACTCTACAAGCACAAAACAAGTCCTCATCTCCAAGAGCTGACAGCCCGAGTACACACTGCCAAACCCTGGTACAGCCTACGAAAGTGAGATCGCTGAGATAACGCCAAGCATCAGTCTGCTTTACTGTACGTCTGTTTTTCCGGTGCCGAGGGTAAACACGAGGAATATTCCTTTCTGTGATTCATCTCCTAGACATCATGTCCTTTATCCAACTCTCAGCACCAGCCCCAGGGACTGGTCCATCTGCCAGCTCCCTGCTCCCCTGCCCACTAATTCTTCATCCTCATGCTGTTGGGCGAGCTCAGGTGATGAGAGTCAGCCCATTTCACAGAGGCTTTGGGGAGAAAGCAGGACTTCAGCAGGGATTTAAAGGAGGGGAGAGAGATGGGAGGGATGGCGGGGCCAGCTCAGGGAGGATGCTCCACTGGTGGAGAAAGCAAGAGACATGAGGACATTCAGCCACAACAGCTGTCAGGGCACACAGAGGGTTTGGGGGATACGCAGGGGGTTGGCTTCACTTAAACTTTAAATTAGGAATGAGACCAACTCACACATGGGGATACAAATGTAACTCCAGATTTATAACTGGTGCAGCCAGAATCTGCCCCTGACCTCAAATATTCACATCATTTGCAATACAGCACTGAGGCGGATTTCCACTCCAAGGCTTTTTCAGAGCAGCAGCTCTGTGTACAGGAGCGCTCTGCATCCCCAGCTGGGTCCCCAGCGCTGGGCACTCCCCATAGACAGCTCGGCTGAGGGCTGACGACCCCACAAGATGCTTCACCGAAAGAGATGACAGACAAAGCAGGATGGGAGAAAGGAGGTGTTTGTGCCTCTAACAGAGCAGCACATGCCTATGTATATTCCTGTTTCCAGACACACACAGCTTATCCAGGTACAGGAGGGGCATCGCTGCAAAGCAGAGACCTGAACTTGGCTCTTCCAAGCCCCACCAGCTCCTCAACACCAGGGCAGCTGCGTGCCCAGCCAAGCCACCACACAGCACGGTGCTACCTGGGCACGCCGCACCGACTCCAGCAGCTCTGCTCGCCACCCAGACACCTCTCCCCATGCTGGGGCCTCCAGTGAGGACCTAAAATTTTGCAAAAGACACAATTTTTTTTTTTTTTTAAATAGTTGCATTAGCCTGAGAAGCAAAAAATCTGAGACATAATAGCTCCCAGTTCAGAAAAGCACTTACACGTGCAGTCAGAAGCTTGTTGTAGGCTGAAAGCTAAGTGACTGGTCCATCTCGTGGGAAGACGCCGCTGCAGCAAGCACAGCCCAGCCCGGCTCTGCAAACCCTTGGGCTGAACTTTTTGCAGGGGAATAAGGCATCAGGAGCAGCGAGCCATTAAACCTGCTGCTGATTTGTCACGCCGTGCCAACCCCACCAACACTGGCGACTGAACGTAAACCTCCACAAGACGCATCACTTTTCAGACACCAAAGAAATTAGCATTTTTGGTGTCGTTGTAAATTTAATTTAAAATACTGGTGGAACTTTGAAGTACATTGCTGAAAAGTTTCCCATGGTTTAAGACATTTGACTAGCAGGAGCAGAACCAAGCCCATTTGGTGCATACCTAAATTAATATAATCTCTCTCCTAAAGAGTTTTATACAAAGAAACTCAATAGCTCGGGTTTGAGTGGGCGAAGCCCCTTCTGAAATCCATGCAATGACTGCTAGAGAGGATTTCTGTAGCCTGGGCAATGTCGTACAGGAGGGAGGAGCACAGCTACAGCAGGTCACCGTAACTACCTGCCCAAAGACTGAAACTGTTCCCAGGAAGGCTCCATGGGGCTGTTGAGGACCTCAAACCGCCCTCCCCAGAGGGACAAGTCTACCAGAGAAGGAAAGCAAACCTGCAAGCGTTTGTAGAGGGATCTCTCCCCAAAACAGTGATGCTAAAGAAGTAGAGTGCCACCGCCTGGTGCTTCCCACCTGGCCAGGTGCAAGGGTATGTAACACACCCAGAATGAACCACTGACATCACTACACAAAGCATCTGAAGCAGCAAGGCAGTGGGCACCGCAAGCTGCACATCTCAGAGCATGAAAAGAAGCAGATGCGCAGGGACACGCTACATCTGAAGAGCCAGAGACGAGCTCCTGCATGGCTCAGGTGCTTCGGGACAGGCTGCCTCTGCACAGCCGAGCTGAGACCACCCGGTGCGCTCAGGTACGAGGGGGACCCCAGCTCGCCCTCGTCTGTGCCCCTCTGCCCGAGCACCAGGGCCCAGCTGGCACGCACTCAGGCATGCAGGACGCAGCCCACCAAAGGGTTAAAGACTTTGAAAAGTAGCTTCAGTGAGGGATGGACATTCCTGAAATGCCAGAAAAGCTAGAAAAGCCAGCTGGCACCCCTCCCTGCAGCCTGGGCCAAGCAGCCAAGCCTTAATATGGCAGAGAGACGCCTCTGCAGACCCCATCGAGCTGGAGGATGGGGGGCTACCACGGCAGTCCCCACACAGGCTCCCCTGCATCCCGCTAGGCTGCTGCAGGGCTGGTGGGCTGGCAGGTCCCATTGTAAAGCAAAGCCAAAGCATCACCTTCCTTCCATGTTCCCCAGCCACAGCTCAGCAAAGGAGAAACCTCAGAGCCATCTCGAGCTGCTTTCAACATAGTAAAAGAGCCCCTTCTGCACAACACTTGTGCCACTCCACAAAACTCATCACATACCTCTGCCATGGTGATATCAGTAGTGAACAGCAAACATGCACAGTGCTTGAAGTCCACCCCATGGTCCCAGGGGGTCCCTGCGCCAAAGGGATATCAGTGTTGCAACATGAGCATGGTCTGGCTTCCACTTCATAAGCAAAGCCCAAAATACTTTCCTCTTTGACGTGTGTCGACGTCAGTCAGCAGCATCTCCTTGCCTGGGCTCCCTGGGTATGGGTTCTTGCTGGAGACATGGTATTTTCCAAAGACAAATGCCATGTTGTAAAATGTGCTGATAAGCAGCCCTCACTAAAAATGACTTTAAAGACAACCACCTGATGGAAACACTGATGGTCTGAGGTCTTCTGCAGGGGTAGCACAACTACAGACCCCTTCTGCTGCTTTTCATCCACCAGCAATAAACACCAAAGCATGCAGTCAAATGAAGGGATTTTTCCCTTTCTTTCCTCCCCACCATCCACAAATGCCTCTTGTGAATATTAGGGCATTCCAGTCCAAACGCAGCTCCTTCCAGGCTTTCATTTCAGAGCAAGGAAGACAAGATAACAAATGCAATTTAAATATATGGCAATGAATGTCAAATGTGTGTTCATCCTACTTTGCCATGCTAGGCTTAAAGATGAGTTACTGCGATGCCTGACATGTGATTTAGAGAAAGTAATCCTGTAAGTCAAACAAAAAGAATTACACCTTTTAGAAAAAGGAAATTAAGATTTTCATTCAAATAACAATTAATTTATGCCTGCCTTCCAGTTGCAAAGTATTTCTTCAAATGCAGCTCCACAATTTAAACAGCGCAGTATCCCTCGCAGGCACTTCCTCCACTATCTCTGCTCGCTGAATCATACCTGCTTGAGGGAGTGGATGGGGGACGAATACAACAGTCTGCTGCAAGACAGGACCACAGTTTCATTGCACAGGACTTAACCCAGCTTGAGAAAGCAGCACTTCCCACACCTGCAATCCCCTGAAGCTTCTCTGCATTTCAGGACATGACCTACCATGTGGGTCATGTGGGCTGCTGACACCAAGTCCTCACCACACAGGAGGCAAAAAGATACAAAAAAGGGGAGACAGGAAAGAAAAGTTTCTCCCCCACACTCCTGGCA